TCAAAGAGAATGAAAAGAAAAACCAAAGAGTTGAACTTACCGGATTTGCACAATGCTTACCGGTTTCTTCACTACTTACCGAATTTGGCACTAAATTACCGGTTTCTGTAAAATGGTTAAATGCTCTATTTTGAAGAGCAAAAAATGAAGAGAAAAGCACCGCCATCATTAGCTTTGTTTCTTGCTGAATATATGCTTACAAAAAACACTTAATTGTCAACACTTTCTACATACTCCAATCTATCAAGTTGTCAACAAAAATATAAGACCATACTTAGATAACTTACAAAAATTAAACTACCAACTATTTGTACAAATCACATGACTTTAGATACAAAAATCAACAACCTTTTTTATAGCAAAAAACGTGACAGCCAAAGTGACAAATCAACTTTAACAACACTTTATTCAGCTTGAGTGTAAAAAATTTATCATTAAAAGTGGTATTTCTTATATATGTATATGTCCTTGAATCTTTGTTGACAAGGTTCAAGGTTAGATTCTCAACTCTACCATATCTAAAATACTCCAATATATGTTGATAAGGGAAAATTATCGAAGTTTTCTCGTCTTTTGCACATATTTTACAACCTACTCAGAAAATTTAGACCGACTTATAGAAAACATTGTGAGAGTGGCTCTGATACTATGTGGAAAGACTTGAGTCAAACTTTTAACGTTACTAACGTAGTTTGATAAATGTTTAAAACCATTTTGGCAAATCATAATGATTAAAAATCCCTATTAACTATTTATCGTATCTAGCCACAGTTGTCTTGAGACACGACATTACAAACTTATTGACTTAACATGTAAGGTCTCAGTGACATGCAAGCCATAGAGAAGACACGTTTGGTATCTAATGCTAGACAATAATGTAAAATTTGCATTAGATTCTCACATGGCATAATAGGTATATAGTATTGACAGGGTTGGGAAAAAAAATAATAAAAATATTATTAAGAAAGGTGATATGCAAAACTAAAGGAGTCATTTCCATCTTGATGCTAATCAATACTAAGAATTAAACTTGTCCTTAACAAAATGAGACCATACTTTCTATGTGGTCCTTACAACTAGAGTGGAAGTCTTTGATCTCCTCTTCTCAATTCCAATACCATACACATCTATCCTTATCTAGAGTGTAAAGCACATTTGTACAAGAGACGAGGGTAATGATGAGAAAGGGTTTGAGTTCGAGAATTTTGAGGGTTTATAGATTCTCTCTTCCAAATTATCTTGAAAATCGATTACGATAAACTGTATTAGACTTTGAATGCATATTGAGCAATGTGTGAAAGTAGGTATAAGCATTGAGGAATGGCTACTTCATATTTCCACCTACAACTTCCCAAAAAACGTTTTGGGACAAGTTGAATTACTTTTAAGAGGATTAAAATAATAAGAAGAAAACTGTATCAACAAATTGCAACAAGTTGAGAATATCACCTGTCTTCGTTTCTTTACATTCATTACATATCTTCTGCAGTTTTGCATATTAGAGGTTCATCTTTAGGATGGTGATAGGTTTATAGATTATGCAACAGAAATGGAATTCTGTATTGATTGAAATGAGAAATTACACTGTGAAAAGAAGAAAACATAAACAATCGTTAGAGAGGGCTGTGACTCTCCTACTATGATTTTCCTCACTCAGATTTGATACCTCCTCTATAGATCCTCTCATTCTATTTATAGGCTCGAGTAACAGACTTGTTGGGCTGTCCTACCCTAGCTAACCGAATTTGTTACTTGTTCCCCCTCCTCTTTTCTTTTGGCGCCTTCTAGAGTATGTATATTTAATTGGGGGCTTATCAATTACCCCACCCAATTCAACAACCTTGTCCTCAAGGTTAAAGGTCGGAAACTGTTCTGTGATGAGGCTGAGTGGCTCCCAAGTAGCTTCTAACGGTGATAGACCCTTCCACTGAATTAGCACTTCCAGGCAGTCTGTTGTCCCGAGCGAAGTAGTCCTGACTCCCAACACATTATCTGGTTCAACCAATAGTTCCTAGTCAGCTCCTAAGTTGGTAGGCAGCATAGAAGGTAAGTGATGTTCTCCCATAGCCTTGCGCAGTTGCGATACGTGAAACACTGGATGAATTCGGGTTCCCTGAGGCAGCTCCAGGCGATACGCGACCTTTCCCACTTTAGCTAAAATCTTGAAGGGTCTATAGTACCGTGGGGCAAGTTGCTCATTGGAACGATGCGCCAGAGATTTGCGGCGATAGGGACGCATTTTCAAATAGACCATGTCGTCTGTTGAGAATTCGACTGCCCTTCTATGTTTATTAGCCAAATTTTTCATTTGTTGTTGGGCTCGAGCTAAATGTACCTTGAGTTTATCCAAAAGCTTGTCCCTTTCTGCCAATTGCTGATCCAAGGATGATACCGGTGTTGTTCCTTTTTCAAAGCGCAGCAGAGGGGGAGGATCCCGTCCATAAACTATACGGAATGGGGTGAGTTGTGCGGACACATGGAAAGAAGTGTTGTAGGAGAGTTCAGCCCAAGGAAGGAAAAGGTACCACTCTTTTGGTCGAGATGAAGTAAAACAGCGTAGATAGGTCTCTACCCCTCGGTTTACCACCTCCGTTTGGCCGTCAGTTTGAGGGTGATAGGCCAAACTGTACTTCAGTTTAGTCCCTTGCAAACGAAATAGCTCACTCCAGAATTTGCTCACGAATACCTTGTCCCTGTCCGAAATGATGGATTTTAGCATCCCGTACAACCGAACCACTTCTTTGATGAATACTGCAGCTACTGTGGGTGCTATGAATGGATGTTTCAAGCCTGTAAAATGGCTGTATTTACTCAAGCGGTCGACCACTACCAGAATAGAGTCAATTCCCTCAGACTTTGGTAGCCCTTCTATGAAGTCCATGGAGAGGTCCTCACATATTTTCTCAGGTACGGGTAGGGGTTGCAACAGTCCCGCAGGTGCTAATGTGGAATACTTATTCTGTTGACAAACTTCGCAAGCAGCCACATATTCCTTGATGTCCTTCTTCATACCAATCCAATGGAAAGTCTTAGCTACTCTCCTATAAGTCTTAAGGAAGCCCCCATGACCTCCCAGCTTGCTGTCATGGCCCTCCTGTAGTGCTAACAAAACCAATGAAGAGCCCTTGGGCAAGGTAATCCTATCTTTATATAGCAAAGCCCCGCCAACTATAGCATATCCTGGCCTCGACGAAGGTTCCTCCCTTATAGCAGATGAAATTTGACTCAGTTCGGGGTCTTCTTTGACTGCCCTTATCACCTCATCTAACTGTAAGGTATTCGGTATGCTAAGAGCCATTAATGTAGCTGTGCCACCCTTACGTGATAACGCATCAGCCGCTTTATTTTCCAGCCCTAGTTTGTATTCAATGACCAAATCGAACCCCAACAACTTTGTTAGCCATTTCTGATATTCAACATTTACCAAGCGCTCTTCAAAGAGAAATTTAAGGCTCTTTTGGTCCGTCCTCACCACAAAACGTCTTCCCAGCAAATAATGCCTCCACTTTTGTACTGCCAGGACAATTGCCATGAGCTCTCTCTCATAGATGGACTTACTCTGGCTCCTTAGTGGAAGAACCTGACTGAAGTAGGCAATTGGCCTCTGGTTCTGCATCAATACCGCCCCTAGCCCATGTCCAGAAGCATCCGTCTCAATCACGAAGGGTAGTGAAAAATCTGGAAGAGCCAATACCGATACCGTCGTCATTGCCTCTTTCAGCCTTGTGAAGGCGGATTCCGCGGCTTCATTCCACGCGAAGCTATCCTTCTTCAGTAGTTGAGTTAGCGGCCAGGCTATCTTTCCGTAGGATTCTAGAAACCGTCGGTAATACCCCGTCAGCCCCAGAAAACCACGCAGTTCTCTTAGTGTTTGAGGTCGTGGCCAGTCTTTCATAGCAGACAGCTTGGATTCATCCGCCGCCACCCCTTTGTCTGATATGATATGCCCGAGATACTCTATTTCTGACTGCCCAAATGAACATTTCCTCTTATTTGCAAAGAGCTGATGGTCTACTACAATCTGCAGGACTATTCGTAATTGATCACGATGCTCTACCTCTGTGCGGCTATATACTAGAATGTCGTCGAAGAAAACCAACACAAACTTCCGAAGCTGCTCCTTGAAGATAGAGTTCATCAAGGATTGAAAAGTGGCTGGGCCATTAGTCAAGCCGAAAGGCATGACTATGAACTCATAATGGCCTTCATGAGTTCGAAAAGCGATTTTTGGGACGTCTTCAGCCCTCACTCGAATCTGGTGGTACCCGAACTTAAGATCTATCTTCGAAAATACCGTGGCCCCATTCAACTCATCAAGTAGCTCATCAATGGCTAGAATTGGAAACCTATCTGGAACTGTGACCTTGTTTAACGCCCTATAATCCATGCAAAATCGCCAACTCCCATCCTTCTTCCTTACCAGTAGTACTGGGCTGGAGAAAGGACTAGTGCTGTGCTGGATGATCCCTGCTGCCATCATCTCCTTCACTAACTGCTCAATCTCATTCTTCTGGAAGTGTGGGTATCGGTATGGTCTCACGCTAACTGGTTCCGCCCCTGGTTTCAAGGTAATAGCATGATCATGGTCTCTCTTTGGTGGCAACTGATTGGAATCCTCGAATACTGATTTAAACTCCTCCAACACCTCGTCAATCATCCCTGACGGATTGGGCCGAATAAAGTCACAACTGACTGTAACATTTCCTAGCTCCAATAAGACCCCTGCCCCCTGCTCCTTAACAGCCTTCCACATGGATTTCAACGACACTTGTATTTTACTGAGACTGGGGTCCCCTTGCAGGGTCACCTTAGTTCCTCCGATGTCGAATATCATAGTTAAAGAGTTCCAATCCACCTGCATTCTGCCCAGTGACCTTAACCACTGCATTCCCAGGATAACATCCGAGCTGCCTAGCTCTAGAGGTAGGAAATCCTCTTCGACCAATAATCCCGGTAACTTCAGAGGCACTCGTCGACATATACCGTCCCCTTTCACTGTGAGTCCCCTACCCATTACCACTCCGTAGCTCGCAGTGCCAGTCAAAGTAAACCCAAACTGCTGGACCAGGTCTGATGAAATGAAATTGTGTGATGCACCACTATCTACCAAAACTATTACCTCCTTTTGATTGATCGACCCCTTCAATTTCATGGTGCCTGGGGCTGTAAGCCCTACAACAGAATTTAGGGAGAGATCCACCGGTTGGCCCAGCTCTTGTGTCTCCTCCTCGGCGCTATGCAACTCGCTGACGTTTAGCCCTTCTTCATTGGTTACTGTTGAGTCGGCCTGTACCTCCCCTTCCTCCATTTCCCGGGTCACCAAAACCTGCAACTCTTTGTTCTTATAGTTGTGGCCAATGGTAAACCGTTCATCACAACGATAGCATAGGCCTTTTTCCCTTTTGGCTTGGATTTCGGTGTCAGTCAGTCTTTTGAAAGGGGTGGAAAATTTGGTGAAGGTGTTTGGGCGATTTTGGGGAAATTTCAGCGGAACGGTGTGGCGATTTGGTGGGTTGGGTGCGTGATATGGATTGAATTTGTGGGTGAAGTTTTGAGGTGGGTTTGGATTATGGAAAGGGATATTTTTTGGTTTAATTGGGCCAGCTCCCCATTGGGCCTGTTTGGTTATGGTATTTCGGTCCTCTACCCTTTGGGCCACTTCCATAATCTGCTCCAGGCCCGTGGGCCGTATTAGTAATACTTCAGCCTTGATATTTGGGTTTAACCCATTTAGGAAGTTGCATTCCAATACCTCATCTGAAACGTCTGTTAATGGAGAGGCCAACGTTTCAAAACGCCGGCTGTAGTCACGGACAGTGGAGATCTGCCTCAGTGAAAGAAATTGGGCGCACAGGGACCCTTCTTGAGAGGGTCGAAACTCGTCCCAGCTCCTCATGGCCCGTCGTCTCTCCTCCCATTTGAACCAAGCGAGGGCCTCGCCGTCGAAGCATACTGCTGCAGCTTCAATTTTCTCTTCCTCCGACAATCGACTGAGGGCGAAATACCTCTCTACGCGAAAAACCCAACCATCCAGATCCTCCCCTTCGAATACGGGCATTTCCAGCCTCCTCATCCGTGGTTCACCCCTCCATCCCATACCTGACCCACCGCCAGTACATTGGCTAAGATCTGGCTTGATTTGATTTACCCCCGAATCTGTGGATGTTGAAGGTGATTTTTCAGAGATTGTGCCTTTCTCCTTCTGGCCCTGATTGTTCTGCATGCCCATCAACAGTCCGAATTGTTCTAACATTCCGGCGTGCATCTCCTTGAACTCCGATCGTATGGACTCCAGTCCTGCGTGCAGTTCCGTCTTAAGTTCTTGATGATTCCCATCTACTTTCAGCTCTAACTCCCCAACTCGATCTGCAAGTGTCATGATTATTGGAGGAGGGTTAGGTGCTCTGATACCAGATTGATAGGTTTATAGATTATGCAACAGAAATGGAATTCTGTATTGATTGAAATGAGAAATTACACTGTGAAAACAAGAAAACATAAACAGTCGTTAGAGAGGGCTGTGACTCTCCCACTATGATTTTCCTCACTCAGATTTGATACCTCCTCTATAGATCCTCTCATTCTATTTATAGGCTCGAGTAACAGATTTGTTGGGCTGCCCCACCCTAGCTAACCGAATTTGTTACTTGTTCCCTCTCCTCCTTTCTTTTGGCGCCTTCTAGAGTATGTATATTTAATCGGGGGCTTATCAGAAGAGAATAGAGGGCGAAATACCTGTCTTCGTTTCTTTACATTCATTACATATCTTCTGCAGTTTTGCATATTAGAGGTTCATCTTTAGGATGGCTGAATGATCGATGAATGCATTTCATTTCTTTATATATTTCATATCAGTAATTAATGGTAGAAGTTCCAAGAGAATACGTGAAAATATGTCCATGATAAAAAGGGAACAAGATCAAATCCTCAAACTGTTGCTTTTATTACTGATAACAAATCAAATATTGTACACACATTTTCCTTTCTATATGCAGCGATTACAGGATGCACGACACAAAATTATAAAGCTCTGTTATGAATTTATAGACAGATAGTATGCAAAGAATGAATGGTATTTTCACATACAACAATGGCATCCCCGGGCATACTATGCTCCCAAGAACAGTCAGACGTTTATTCAGATCATATCAGCATCGGAAATATACAACTGGCTTGTTAGTCAGGTTGCAGAATAAAACATAGGCAGTTCCCTGATAATGCCATAAATTTAAGTACATCTTGGGAACACTTTCTCCGTCGCTATGCATTTTTTGCCTGCACAGATGTTCAAACGGAACTGGGTGAGGGATGTAAAGAGCTAAAACTCATCAATGTTGTTGCTGAAAAGAACATGCTCACATTTCAATGTATGTTACCAAAGAACTTAAAGCCTGAAACATTTTTATCAACCTAAAACATGGCTTCCAAATTGACAGAACTATTGCCCAGAAATAGAGGAAGCGTGTGAGAAGCTGTGTCAGAAAGGAAAGAGCCACAAAAAACATACATCTAAGAAGCAACTGAAAAGTTTGCAGAAAGAAGTCTCTTTAACACCTGAAGAGCGATCCCAGCACAACAAATAACAAAAACTAAGCAATGGCAATAGAATGTTGAAGGCAGCATTTATACTATTTTACAGCATAAATAGGACAGATTTACACGAATTCTCAAAGGAAGCACTATCATGAGTATTAAATCATTATGTGTAACTTCTGTAATATATTGATGGTCTGCCTCGGCAAGGGGAGAGATTTTTTGGTGTGAAAAAGCATTTTATGGGGTCGTGAACTTCTTCGGCTAGACTTGAGGTGGTGGGGGCGATGGAAGATTAATCTGTGTTTTTCCGAGTTCTTTCAGGCCATATTCAGTAGTAAATTAGGAATTTTCTATGGTAAGTGATTTATTTTGGTGACCCGAGCTTGGGATGTTAGGAAGGGGGTGCCACTGTTTTTACTGGTGCATAGTGCTCAGAATTTTTCCATCCTGTTGGGTAACACTCACTCCATGGATAAATGGATTTTTGGCATTTTGAGGCAAACTGAGAGTACAGTGTCCAGGGTGGGTATAATTGTTTGGTTGCAGCGTGCTGCTGGCTGAAAGTTCCAATGGATGGAGGAGAACTATATGAATATTACCAGCGCATCCTAAGAAAAAAAATTTCAGGTCTTAAATGAGGCTATTCCTACATGTGTAAATCTAAAGAGCCACGGGGTTACTGTTGAAGAGAGATGCAGGTGGTAATCAACTCCACATGCTGTTTTGGTGCAAGTTTGGAATGTGATGGGATACTGGAGCAGGCTAAAACTTTTATTGGAATAATGGATGTGCATGATACACTACTTGGAATATCTCAAGGTAGTAGGGGGCAGGAGTTGGGAAGTTAAGGATGCATTCTATGAGAGATATAGTGGTGATGCAACCATGTGGTGCATGGTGCAATGCTTGGAACTGAATTTCCTAGTTGATACTGTGGAGGGTCTGCTGCGGCGGGGGCAGGGGATGGTGAAAATCCAGTTAGGTGGAACCCGATCTGGTAGGAACGAAAAAGCTGCCTCAGGTTCAAGGGCTTAAGCTTAATAAGGATGTCACAGAAAGAAAGGACACTAGTTTTATTGCATCTGGGGCGGTGATTCAATATAGGGTGATTTTAGCTGCACAAATGAATGACAGTAGGGCAGTTTGGGATGGAGGATGCAGAGGCAATTGCGGTTCGAGATTGCCTTATTTTTACAAAGGAACACAAATTCGAGATTGCTATGGTGGAATGTGACTCCCTTCAAGTGGTGCAGAGTCTCAAGTCTGATTTCCATTGAGCACTGAATGCAGTGATCTTGGCTGATATTTTATCTTTAATTGCCTATGTTAATTGTGGCTCTTGTTGCTTTATTTCTCGCAAGGAAAATCAGGTAGTCTTTCGCTTGATTATTTACGTTGTAGTTGGACTGATTGTATTCCCCTTTTCCCCTCGCCTTTTGTTTGTGGCGATGTGAATTAATGAACTATTTGGATTTTCAAAAATAAAAAAATACAAAAGTAGGAAGACAGAATCATACCTTTTTCAGATATTTCTTGTGAAGTTTCATGGCACCAGTGCAAGCTTTCTTGGCATCAAGGTCTCCCGTAACGTCATTTAGTATCTGAGAATTTAAATGTGAAAAGACTCCAATTAGCTGAGAATCATAGGAAAATAGTAGTTATAGGAATATGTCGCAACAACTGCCTGAAAGTTGTGTTGTTTGGAATCATTTTCTATGATATAAGNCGAACCAAAAAAAAAAAAAAACAAAAGAAAATAAAAGAAAAATGAGATAATAAAAGTAACAAAGATTGTAGACTTAACAGAGAACACCAAAAGAGATCATTGAAAGTTATTGGGAAATTTCTACTAAATCCATCACAGTGAATCGAATCAATCAATCAATCATAAATCATAAACTATTTTGTTACTGCTGACCAATTTTTTGCTGTTTTAAACTAGATTTGTTTTTCGATTCTGAAGAGATAATTATCAGCCTGAGTCTTATAATTTAACAAAATATATCCCTGATTCCATAAAGAACTGGCAAGCACAAAATAAAAGAAAAAAAAAATCATCTAGAATAATGAATTTGATCTGAAAGAAAGATTGACAGGCAGCTCCATACTGTTTATTTCATCTTATTGCATGAATTCTCTAGCTAATTAAAATATTTATCTTTGAAAAGTAAATCGGTAAATTTAGGAATCCATCAAGCTAACCTTAACAACGTCATCTAGTCCTCGAGCTTCTGTCAACAACTTGGTACTCTTGTCTTTCAGGACACTAGCTACAAGAAAAACAGAAATTGGGAGAGGGGCTTCAGCACTTTTGCCTCCACTTTTCATGTTTTCTCTTTCATACTTTCCACACTGGCGAATCGACTTTGCTTTTCCTTTAGATCCGTCAGATTTCCCACGGGCTAATTCAGGGTCCTCATACATGATGAATAAGTCAGGATCGTACTCCAGGGCCCACATCATCTATATAGAAAAAAATGAGAAAACCGACAGAGAGTTAAAATCAACAGGAACTTACAACTCAGACAAAGAAATCTGTGATTATATAAACTGAAAGATGTCGTCAACAAATTTTTAAGACAGGTACATTGAAGTGTGAATAATTTCGTCATCTGAAAGCGAATGTTAATTGACACTATTTTTTCTTGCATTGGCCAAGATATATTAATAAATGACAGTATTCAAGCATGATGAAGAAAGTAATTGGTACACTGGTGAAGTTCAATGGATTTGACATAACTTAAAATCTTTCTGAGAGCTTTGCTATAATGTTAGCCAAAAACCACCTTTTGTTATCATGTACTAATTGTATTCGTCGATTTTGTTTCCTTTACAAGTATAGTTATGAAACCACCAGGACCATACTATGAGGTCGGACAGGAAAGCCAGGAACCGGAGTTGCCAACCAACCCAGACAAATCTATTAAACCAGTTCTCAATTGAACCGGTCAAGTACTATCAAATCTGACACAGCTTAGAAAACTGAAGACCCCAATTTTGTTAAACTGGTCGATTTATCCAAAATATTACAAAATTAGCTTCTTCCCAGTTTTGATCCTGAGACGGTGGTTTCTATGCCCACCAACTTATGGTTGCACATCTGTAATTTGTTTTTAATTGTAACTCCCACTCAATATAACATTAAACCTGACTTTTAAGTGCCATTTAAAATAGCTACACTGACAGAAAAAGAAATCAGCTATCTTTTATGATGTTTATGTTGGAGAGTATTATGCAAGAATTTAATAAAATTTGACTAGCCAAGTATTAAAAGAAAATGCTGTGCTAGTTATTTAATTATCAAATAACTATCTTATTATTATTATTTTTTTGATAACCGTGGATGTCCGGGCTAGCTTACGCGCACCTCGACTAATTCCACGGGGCCCTGAAGTATACGGCCGGGTACTCACCTCATTGCTATTTATATAAACAAATTTTAGCTAAGATAAATCTGATTTCTTAAAAGAAAAACGTCCAATGCACAAGGAAAATGAAGATAACACAAGTATAATACAAAAATAATAGTATAAAAGTGCACAAATTACAATGTACTAAATGATTAGTAAATAATAAGACAGCAAACATTCCCTTCATCTTCTACTTAAAACAACTTATCATAGCAATGAATTAGGTTTATAATGTCAAAAAGGGCATCACTAAAGTGTCTGTATGATGAGAAAAAAACTTGACATGAAAAATAAAAAGAATAGGTTCGTATTATTGTCATTATTGATAAACCAATCAAAACTTATATTTTAGCTCAAAAAGAGTATCATATCAGTTTGCAGAAGAGTTCAACTAACCCAAGTCAACGTCTAGACCAGGTCTGGTAACTTTGTTTACAAGTCAAATTCACCTTTGCAGAATCACATGAATTAATGAAATTAAAAAAGACTTTAGCATCGATGGTTTTATTTTGATGATGACCCTTGATAGCGCCAAGAAAAAAGAAAAACAAAATCCAAGTTGTAAAATAGATAAGTATGGGATAAGTCTTTGTTGACGTGAGTATCTAGTTAGTCAGAACTACTACTAAGAAAACATTTGTTAGTGCTCCATAAATTGATTGATTAAATTCGCTATTAGAAATATATATATATACACTCTTGAATTTCACAAATTAGGACATTACCTCCCAAAGGTATAATGAATCACCAAAAGAGAATTCTCTACGAAACAAAACCATAAGCATTCTGAAAGCAAACAGATAATCGCCTCCACCAAGGGTTTCTGTTCCCAAGATAAGAAACAACACCTCTGTTACTTTCTCCATGAGAACCTAGAACTTAATAAGTAAATAAGAAAGAAACAAATTTACAATGCACGACTTTTAAATAGTCTTCTTGATGAAACCATCGACATCAAGAGAAATTTTATCTTTTGCTTTTCATTTTTTTTTCCCCTTTTCTGCTGAGAGATTACAGAAGAACTTACGAAAAATGAACAAATGGTTTAGAGAAGACATCAACACCCTTTGTAAATAGGTAATGGAATTTGTTTCTTTTTTTTTTTTTTTATCTTAAGAGTAATTCAAATGAAGTTTGGATAGAGAAGTATACTGTAAAGAATTAAAGTACACATAATTTCAATGCAAGTCTAACAAAAGTTGTTTATCCAGATGCGCTAGTGATAGGAAAGTTCATCTTGCAACAACAAATCTTGCTTATTGACAATGGCTTAACAATGATAATTATTTGTGAAAGCAGACAAGTGCATCCATCTAACAAACATTTGACTATAAATGTCAGATGGAACAACTTTTATGGATTGCAGAGGCTACCCAATCAAACAGAAAATATGTTGTGAAGTGTTTAGAGGGGAAATCTTCAGCTCCGCTGACATCGTAAGTAGTTCAGTGTTTCAATTTGAAAGCACATTTCATATTCTTTTTAAGAATGCAGAATATTTAAATGTAAAGGTGAATAATATGATAGATAATGTGGAAGAAAGTGGGTAGAGACTATACCTAAGTGTTGATGAAGTTTAGGATTGATAACTTGTGTTATTGAAGCTAGATTGCTGAGCTGTGTCTCCACTCCTACAGATCTCTCGGTGCATCTGAAATTTCCTCGCTTTAAAGTTTCAAATAAACAACTATTATAAGACGCTGAAACTTAATTGGCAATAGGAATAGAAAATATCATACAAAAGAATTAAATCTCCTAAGAACTTTATTACAACGTGGAGGATAGGATATTTCTTTCACAGACGGGAAATAGGTGGAAAAATTGTAAAGCAAATTTAAGTCTATCAGAAGTCAGTGGTATGATATCAGATGATAGAATGACTTACAATTAAGAAATAAACCCCAAACCCCAGAAAGAAAACAAACGCAAACACCGTGCTTTTCCATTCTTTAGCTCTTTTGACAGTTAAGGTCAAATTTAGCATATTATTAAATCAATTTTCTTTATTATAGGCCATGATTACCGGCTTCCCTCTAATTTTTGAAATTTTAGAACATGGCAATTCTCCTTGCATGTCAATTGCTTCTACCTTAAAAGGACGTACCTCCAAGGAGAATTTTCTCCAGCAATAAATTTATATTGAAAAACATATTTATTCTAATATCCAGTTAATTTGGGCCTATAGATGCAATAGGGGATAGAAGTCCGAGTTGGGTGAACTTTGATCTCAGTAAATATCTTCAACCCAAATTTATGTCAGTTCCAAAAATACCACCCTTAAAAGAACACAAAGATCTCTGAGGCCAACAAAAATAAAATATTAAGTAACCAAAAATAAATAAATGACAACAGTTGCTGCCTCGTTTTCAAATATTAACCAGAAACAGAAGAATATGTCTTGGACTACAGTTGCAAAGATTGAGAGGTCAAATAGAAATATTTGAAAGTCAATTCTTTCTTAGGAGATTACTAGACGTGCACAATGCCGGTGATATTTTCAAAATAGCATTTAATTAATGCTCAATGCCAATCGGTGCTTAAAAAAAGTAGAATTCGAATGCATTTACATGTCAATTCATCGGCATTGAGTAGGTATTTTATATGATAGGTGATAATAGTAATTTAAAAAAAAAAATTCTAAAGAAGGAGGCAATTTAGTAATCAAACTTTTTAGACTTTTTCTCTCGACAGTATTATACTGATGGTGGGTCTTGAATGATGACAGAAAGGTAATATAAAGTTAACTAGTTACTTTTTGAAGGAACATTATATCATGGGCAGCAATTGGAACAAAATCGAGGTCAAAAATTTTCACATTCATTTCAGATACTTGCAAGAGTAGTTCCGTGTACAGTTTTCTTTTATTCTAGGCTAAGCTGAAATGGAGCTTTTATTACACCTTAGCAGCAAATTGTACGAGGACAAGGTTCAAACTCAATTTTCTTTAAAGAACTAGGAACAGAGCACATTTTGGATGTCAAAAAAAGTCAACTAATGAAATTAAGTGAAGAATAACTTTCAGAAATGTTTGCTAGGAAAGAAAATATTAGGACCAAGTTCCTAGATTCACATAATAAGTTTGTAACAAAGAGGAAGTTCTTAGATCATGAGACTTCACACATGGCAATTTGAAAGCACAACATTCGGAATGCTTATAAAAGAAAGAAACTAGATTCATAAAAGGTACCAATCTGCGCATCAGACGTTCAAAGCACCAAAATGCATCCGCTTCGTCTTCAAGTAACATTATCATAGGGGAGCAAAGATCGCTCATTCCTGCTCAATATATTGATAGATTTCAGAGTAAGCAACTTTATGTGATTACTCGATATAGAACTAGTTCCAAATGATCTGCTAATCTAAGATGACATAATAAAAAGTGTACTGAAGAATTCTAGAAAGTCCACCATGGTTTGTTAGTAGATCAAGACCGGAGGAACATGGGGAGCAAATTTAGTTTGTAATCATTTTCCAGAGTCTAACAATAATGTAAACTTGAATGACTATTTCCAAAATCTGAATCCAAGTTTTTAAAATCAAAATGGATTAAGCGGATCAATATTGCATAAACTAGAATGTAAATTTACATTTGCCTTCCCTAGTTAAATTGTTGTTGAATCTAGATGTTATTAATTTCAATGGGAGACCGCTTGCTACATAACTAAGTGTCATTGGATCTGTAATAACAATTGACCTTTTCTACCATTTGTCATCCAGAGAAGGCGGTGTCATGAGAACTGACAATACTGTGTTTTCCACTTTAAGGAAGCAAGTTAATTGCATTTAAGGAAATGGTACAGAAGAAACAATTTATAACATTTTGAACACTTTGATCCATAATTGTCTATCAAATTCAGGTATACACAGGTGAAGCAGATAAAGGAGCTAATTGTGACCTTATACCTGAAAATAATTAAATTTTGTTACCCACCTTGGCAGTAGCCAACATCTTTATCAAACCAGGCATAAATAGAGAGAATATCCCAAAGTTTTGACAAATTTTCTTGCTTCTCATAAAACACAAGCGTCCTGTCAGTTCGGACCACGTCTAGACCTGGAACGAACATCAAACCAAGAATTAAAAAAAATCGTAAACTAGGACATCAAAAAGAGAAATAGAACAGAAGATTGTATGACATATTTCCATTACATGAGATGAAAAATGCTATCCCCTCTCCCAGTTTGTTCTTCTGGGTTACAATATAATTGTTTATCTCATAATCTCTTCTCATCACAAAAAATTCAGTTCACTAAATTTCTTATTATACCCCTCAGTATGTTAAATCTGTAGAAAGTGTTATGACATTAATGAAATAAATAGACACTACAACTATTTCTATAAAAGGTAATTCATGAAACACGGTGTGTAAGTTTCCACATGACAATTTATGGTGAGATCTTAATTCCTGTACAAAGTCAAATAAGCATTTCAAAATGGGGTATAGGGAATATTACATTAATAATCAGTACTATGGTAATTAAATCAGGATGGTGGTGAAAATTAATCTGTTTGTGAATCTCTTAACATACATATGTTGAATTGAGGAATCAACTAAGAATATGATTAGCTCTCCCACAGACCACCAGAGGAAAAATTTACAGAATAAGCAAATGAACGTGTAATTTACATAAGTTACTCACCTATCTGATGTAAGGTAAGTTTCCACTGAATTTCTTTCTCGCTCATAGGGCAATGAGTATTTGGCTCTTTTGCTATTTTAGAGCCGTTGAAAGCATCTGTTATTGAAGGATAAAACACATTAATAAATTGGATAATGCTATTTGTACGTTGAAATTGTACATTGTTGTTGACATTATGTGGTGTAAAAAATCTGACCATTGATTTGAATAATTGTTATTTAAATAAATGGCCAGATTGTCTGCCACATCACACAGTGTGAACAAAGATGTCAACAAAAGTGTAAGTGTAGCATGATTGTAATAAATTATATGAAGCAAGAAATTGGTAATTATCCCCCTGGGTTGGCAATGTAATATGAAAGAAAGCTCAGAGTTCCTCAATTACCATTTCCCTCAGAAGAAGATGCATTTGCCTCTTGAAGTACAAGAGGATCATGAATAGGTTCACCATCTTCAGTAATTACAGGTGCAGTGATAAATTTACCACTTCCAATCAAGGGAAACATTATCCGACACTCGTCTTTTAACACAGCATACTGAACTCTGAAGTATAAGCAAGGAATCAAAAAATAATATAAGATATATTTAACAAATCAGGTCTGAAAAAATGAGTGGAGTGTTAATATTCTTAAATTTTAAATACTTCACAAAATGGAGAAACAGAACAACAGGTATATAAGTTAGGAATTAATTTGACCAATTAGCAAACTGTAAAATTGATTCTTATACCTTGGTTAAATATTCTATCCGAAACGCATGGATTAGAATTTTTTTTTCCAACCTTGTCCCCCACCCCAACTGCATTTTCCAGCCACCACCATTTTTATCTTGCAGGTTGTGTGGAGAAGGATGGATGGAGATTAAAGGGAACTGAACGCTTCAGATGATGCAGACAAACAAAACATAAATGTTTTCCACTACTTATAAGAGAAATAAAAGGTGTCCCTACAAAAATAGTGGGACCAAGTCTATCCTCTGAATATTCTATTGTATCTTAATAGATTGATAGGTTTATTAGGAGAATACAGCTGCACAGCTTCGTGCGGTGAACAAACTAACTCATGCAACTTAAAAGACAAAATTAAAAGCTCTCTATAATACCTCCATACCACTACCTTCAAATTGACAGACAGATATCCTTATCATCATCACCGTGTACAGTGATTAACACAGCTAATAATGCTTCTTTTGTAGGAATATGTTCGGGTTAGTACAATGTTAGTCTTTTATCTGAACATTCTAGGTAGCTTAACTAAATGTGGCATTCATTGCAGTAAAATGAAATATAGATCAGATTACCTTCGTTGCTGCCGTATTTTATCTCGTTCATCGAAAGTACTCTTAGGATCATAACAGCCCAGTAAGAATTCCCAAACTTCACCTCTAATTGATGGGTGGATCCCCTATTCACCACAAATAAAATATTATAATTATTAGTTTCAAATTCGATATTAGAATACTCTATTGTGTTCATGGAAGATCTGAAATGTGCTATGATGGCTGATCCATGACAGAACAAAGAATTTTTTTATCAAATTTAATGAAGTTCAGATTGTCACTCCAGAAGGGGGAAAAATTCTAAAACTGATAAAAGAATCTCTTTGGTAAGAAACGCAGACAAAGACAAGAAAGCACATATACAGCTACAAATACAGTATAGATTATCACATAACCAAATAAACCAGATGAGTAATTATCAACCAAAATAGTCTTCATTTATATTCACTTTTGGATTAGAAACAAGTAGCAATTTTTCATAAAAAGAAAGAAAATCTTACCCCACGTTGGATTCGACCAAGTGTTTTGCCTATATCAAGATGACCTTCTGGAGAGAAAGCAGCTTGCCATTTCCGAGCACTTAATGTTTTGCCAGCCTGATTATGTAGATAAAGAAGTCGTGTCAGGACAGGAAGCAGGTCGCGAGTAGTACGAAGTTAAAGGGAAACAATAGTTAGAAGAATTCAAAAGAATGCCTAAACGAAATCCTAGTATAAAAAGAAATGCCTATTAACTCTGAATGTATATTTGGCAAGATATATAATGCATTCAAGTAAATCTCTTGACTCATTCAACAAGCTAGATTTCCAGCTGTCATACCAAGAAGGCTAATAAACAGGTTTCTAACTTCTAAGATTAAATCAAGAATAAATGAAGTCCATCAGAAACAAGATTGGATTACTCAAATCCTAGGCATAAAGACAAGGTCAATAGTGGTAGCCTCATCTTAGGAGAAGGTGAGTATGAATACGAATGTAATAGACCTATCCTGGGATAAAACTTGATGGGCACAGGTAAGAATCTAGCCCAACAAATAGTCATTTTCATATGACCTGTATACTTGATGGCGAGTATTCATACGAATGTAATAAACCTATCCTGGAAGAATATTTGATGGGCACAGAAGAGAATCGAGCTCAACAAATGGTCATTCTCATATAACCTACATACCTAAGAGGGACTTTTGATCAATCAGTGGATGGTCAGCAGACTTGGGAAGTCACCTTCTCCATGAATTATATACTAAACAAGCCATTATTTTACCTAGGTCGTATCTTTATTGATTTAGTTCAATCTAACATACAGAGTGTACAAGCGCTCCGAAACTATAGTGCATATGCAAAGAAAGAGATGTGGAGAACGTTAAACCTGGAATCAAGATACTTGCACAGACTGATTACTCTACAAAATTACATAATTTACAAGGCCTTCTTACTGTTGCTAATCCAGAAGTTCAGTCATTTGGTGTAGGCGATAAAACTGACTATCCTCTAAATTTGAAGGGGCAAAGAAGGAAAAAAAAAAATACATATGGCCACAATCTACATTTACACTAAATGACCTTGATCACTTCTATTCTCCTTCTAGGATCTACCAGGAAGAGAATATACACAAATATATGAAAAAAGTAGAAATCCCTATGTGGAGTAAACACAGTTCTGGAAGATAGTCATTAGGTCTCTCACTGGTATCCATTGTATCTGAATGCATAAAAAATGCAAGAAAATATGGTTACACAGTCAATTTGCCCACTATTTACACTCTCATGCTCTTTTCTGCTCCATGATGGCCCTTCAAATACTAAATCTCTATTTTAGAAGTCAATTTGAAGCTTACTTCGAACAAACTCAAGAATCATTAAGAAGAAAAAGGAAAGAAAAGACTTCTCTTGCAACCTCATGATAAAAAATATCTTAGCTGATCCAAGACCCTAAAATCCCTTTCCCTTAAAGCTTGTATTTTCTAAAGAACAGACACCTTAACAAGCCAGGAACATTGTGTCCCGTGTCCCTCTGTGGGGCAATGCAACTCAGATTGAAAAATGTTGTCAACTGTTCGGAGAGCAAAATCTATTGAAAAATACTTACGCATTTAACTTTTGGAGATGTCAATAGAAAATATATTCTCAATGCCAAAACCTAGTTCAAGATTGGTTGCCTAAAATTTTTGTTTGTGCATAAATATACTTTAATGTAGCACTAGTCATCTAAAAAACCCTCATCACACATATATTAGTATATCAGACATTGAGTCATTCGTTTAACCAGTCATGAGAATATCATCAAAAGCCAAATTTACAAAGTTTACATCCAAAGTAACCTCCATACTTTTTATAAGAAAATCGAGAAAATTGGATACACACCATTAAACCTTAACATAAAAAGCTGTCATGTTCTTGATTAATTTCATCCTTATTTAGTATTATGGTATTCTCTTTACCCATCGTAGCTAAATGAATCAATCGAAAGAGCATGCCATTATAATACCAAATTGCAAATGAAGGCTTTCGTTGAAAATATGAAGAACATAGATACAATGAATCAACCATTTTGTTTGATCCATTTATGAGAGACTTACAATGTCAAAAAAAATCTTAATCATTTCCAGCATCAATATAAACAACACCATTGGAACGTAAAATCTAGTAAAAGGGAAAATTAAATATTTATTACATCAATTTTAAGAAATTATGAACAAACCTTGATTCTGAACTTGGTTTTGGGACCATCAGTGCATTCAGGCCGGACCTCATAAAAAGAATCAACACGAGCTCCCGGGTCCCTCCACATTTTCTCTCGGAAAAAAAAGAGAGAGAGAGAGAGAGAAATAACAACTTGAGAAAATTTCCGACAAGAAACTGAAGAACCAGCAAAAATGAGCTGAAATTCCCAAAACCCAGATCACGAATTCAGAAGAAAAACATTTCCAAGGGCCACAAATTAATTTCCTTTTAACAAAGATTCAAGGGGTATATAAATACAAGAAAAAAAACGTTTTTTCGTCTCGAGATCATTCTTTGTTTTTCTTCTTTAATTTATTAAGCAGTTGGGGGAGGTTGGTGAAGGAGGTGGATTTACAGATATTCGACCCGGCCCGAACAAACATCCATAAATAATGCCCGTTTTATGCGTTAATCTCCCTGCTAGCATCCTATCTCTCTCTAGTTTCTCTCTCTAAATTTATCAAAATGCTGTGCGTGAAGCGAAAAAGACGAGGGACTCAAGTGACCACTCGCCATGATTCGCGGTTGAAAGAGGGTTGGAGAGTAAGAAGAACGCGCCAAATCTCGCGAGTGCGCGATTTGTCTGGTTTGGATACGGGCCGGCCGAGAAGAGTGGTTGAGTTTTACCCAGAATTGAAAAGGTCCTTTTTACCGGGTCCAAGAAGCGTGTGGGCCCCACCCTTCGTTGTTTCTGTGAAAGACTAGGCCCAGGGTCTGACCAGGAGGGGTCCATTACCATTAGCCTATTACACTTCTGGAAGAGGAAAGTTTTGAACGAGTCAATCTAATGGAGGAAAAGGCAAAATTCAGTGCGTGTTTCATATTTGATTAAATTAAATTTTAAGTGATTATTATAAGTAAGTTTTAAAGAATGCGTGCAAAATAAAAGGATAATAATACTAAATTCTAAAATATAATATTAATCAAAAGTACTTTTTAATAATCACCAACAAAACATGCATTGAAATCAAGTAACTTTTTTGTGTTCAGTACAAGGACTAGAAATATTTGCATCAATACACTGACATTTGTGAAATGCGCTCTCAGCTCATTAATACCATTGCAGGTCTTGGCGCAACCATCGGTGCCAGTTTAGGGCTCAACAAGTCCAACAAACCTCAGAAGATGGGGTTTGTGTCGGTTTCGTGTCAGCTACTGATTGGATACTCATTATTCAAATGTTATGAAGGTTTTACTTAGGTAAGTGATTATTAGTTGCGGTTCCTACAAAATGTATTAATAATAAGTGAGCATCGGTTGTAGAGTTTATGAAATGTGTGGCCAACAAGTGAGTTTGACCAAATGTGATTTTATACTGTGTCTGGGAGCACTCAAAATGAAATTTTCTACCGTTAACTATTCAAACTTGGGTCCCACCTTTCTCACAAGTGGTCAAAAAACGCTGCAGCTTTTCATGCAAACGGTACAAAAATGAATTATTTTGGGGTGAAAAATCTGTCCCAGACATGCTGTTAAAAAATAAATGGCTACCCAAAATGCTTATGTTAACTTTGTGGTAAATATTTGAATTCGAGATTGAAAAAGAAAAGTTCTACGCAAGCATTCATTGAAGGAAGGTTGACATGGTGGAAACAAGTAAAACACATCATAATAAAATTGAACGATGAATATAAATCTCCGGAATTGTATTAATTTAAGATGGCTACATTGCCTCCATAATGTTTTTATTTCACCATATAATCACAACTCCTAAAATATAGAAAAAAAAAATTAAAGCAAAACACCACATGAATTTTAAATTAAACCATTTTAAATGATATAAGAAAACCTAAACCAAACTATTTGAAGTTATTTGAGATTTTTTTTAAACAAAACCTAACAGTTTGGTTCGGTATTAAATCGCGATTTAGTTGTACATTTTTTTCTTCGGGTTCGCTTTATCTTCACTAGCTCAATGATTATAAAATATTTTTATACTTTTATTAATGATAAAAAAAAAAAAATTTGTATATTAAGCTCTCTATTTGGCCCCCATTAAATTAAGATTTATTTTTCTCTCTTGTTTTATCAACTACACATTCTTCAATAAAATAATATTACGCGTAAATTTAAAATTTATTATTGATCTTATTAAAATGTGGAATAATGCAGCTCAAACGGGATTGTAAATATAAAACTAACAAAATCGAAGAAAAGCCTCAACAATGGGATTATGAAACTAGGATAATTCACGGTTAGCTAAATATATTGACGCCACAACTTTTAATAATTAGACTACATTTTAATTGTATGAAAGATTCATAACATTTACACATTATCACATTTATGTCTCAAACTTTTTTCATCGCACTTTTATTATCAAATTAACATAAATTATTTTTTATTATAATTTCTCTCTAAAAATATTTTTAAGATAAAATAAAAAAGATTCATTTGCCCATTGTATTTTTGAATAAGCAAAATTAACAATATTGCAAAACTACAATTGAGTACTTGACCCTCACTTTAAAATATGTTAACAATATTATTGAATGAAAATCATGATTAAGAATAAAATTTTCTAAGGAAATAAATGTTAAAAATAAGAATGTGATTTAAAAATTTGAGAATAAAAGTGTGATAATGAACAAAAGTTAACGATCTTTATTGTAAATAAAACGTGAAATATTTATTAAAAAAATTGGTGAATATAACCACCCTTAACATATTACTTGTTTTTGGAAATTGACAATTGACCATGTTACCCATTTTAAATTAAAATTTCATAGTTCTATTTTATTTTGGAGGTTAAGAGTTAAGACTGTAATTTACAAATCGAATTTCAGACAAAAAAATTATAATTTCTTTTATTTATTTTGAAAAGTTCGAGTTTAGTATAAAATCGTCGTTAAAATTTTGAAACTTAAATCTAACTGTCTTAGAATGACTTGACTTATTTCAAAACCATTTTATAATTATAGGGATGACAATCGAATTGGTTCATATAAACACGAGCTCAACTCGACCCATCATGGGCCAGACTTCATGAGCGGATCCCAGTAGACCAAATCAATGATTTCAAAAAAGGATTTCGATTTGATTTTCAAGTATGGTAGTTCTTATTATAACTCTATAGGGTCCGTTTGATTGTGAATGTGAAATTTCGGTGAAAAGAAAATGAAGTATAGAAAATTGAATTAGCTAGAATTTGTTTTACTGTGAATTGTAATTAATTGTATTTGATTGGTATAATTTTTTACCTGAAAAATATTGAAAGTTTGGTATCCATTTGGCTTTATTTTTCAGGAAAATTGTCCATTAAAATAATAATTTTTTTTCCATTGGGTCTAGAATTTGTTTCAAATGCCAAAATAAATAAATAAAAATTACCGTATCGAATACTATTCGTTTAGCTTTGTTTTACATGAAAATTATCAATAAAAGTGATAAATTTTTTAATCATTGTGCCTAAAATTTTTTCCAAATAAAAAATAAAAATTCAGCAGACCTGGAAACTATTTTCCCTTCCTTAATTTGGTGGAATTGGTGCACATGTGAGGGGTGAGTGGAAATTGTTCCATGACAAATTTTTCCATCAAACAACCATAAATCATGGAAAATGGAACCATTTTTCATGGAAAACAAGGGCTACAAAACATAGCCTAATTCTAATTCATCCTTGAAAAAACTTACCATCCCCACTAAAAAACTTACCGACCCCCACTTTTAAGTTCCCCCTAAACGACCAAACTCCCTTCTAATTTTGACTAGAAAAAAACTTCCCCCCACCCCACTTCGTATTACCCCACCGTAGTGCCTCTCTCCCAACCCCAACAAAATCGCCCAAATCTCGTTCTAGTCTTTGTTTGACGGAAATTAAAATTAAGACATTAATTTAAATTAAAGTCAATAATTAATTTTAATTACACATTTCATTGAATTCACAGCTTTTCAATTACATGTTTCATTAATTTTTATTATAATCCTTATAATATACTCAAAATTTGATTTCAATCCCCACCAAACAAGAATATAATAGGTTAAAACTTTTTCACCCGACCCCATTACAATCTAGCAGGCAATTTCCCTCCACGCCATCCATCATGGTTTAGATTATTATAATTACTTATAATCATCACGTTTTACCTATATTAAAAAATTAAATATATAAAGTAAATAATGCACCATAATCACCGTCATGAAAACACAAGTATCATGATGGAGAAGAAAAAGTTTCCTATGTGAGAAAAAAGAAATTGTACCATCCACCACCATAAGGAAAAACAAGGTAAATTAATAATTATTGTGAAAAAAAAAAAAAGTGATGTGAATACAATAGCTCTTACTTAAAAATGTGTTGAATCAGATAAAAATGATAAACAGATAGAATTGAGTGGTGGATAAAATCCTACACTATGTGTTGATTAAAAGTATTATTTAAGTAGAATTTACATCCATAAATTTGATGACCAAAACGGTGGCATAATCTTCAACCATATAGACATATATACTTCATTTTGTTTTAGTTTAACTTAAATTTTGTCATAGAGACCATGATCATTTTATTCATATTCATTAGTTTAACTACAAGAAAAATGTGATGTTTTAGTTTTATTAAATGCCGATTCTAATAGACACGGATGGAATGATCGAAATCAAGAATGATCTAATGAGCACTGGTGTCATATTATGTTAAAACATCATTGGTATTTCATATAAATTTATTGGTAGATTTTAAACTTAATTTAAATGTTGAGAGTCTTGAGACCCACTATAAGTTTATCCATTAATGAATTTATATGACAAATTATTCATAATTAACATAAGATGAGTATCGGTGCTCAGTAGACATTCTTGTGATCAAAACTGTATCATATATTTAAATTCAAGGACCTCATTGAAATAAAATTTAATGTTTAGTGACTAAGGGCCTGTTTGAGCCTCTTTTTTGTATAAAATACATTTTGGAATAGTAGATTGATGAATAATGTGTTATTAAGCCCCCGTTTGGCACCCATTTTTTTCTCATTCTCATTCTCATTTTTTTCTCTTTCTTCATTTCAACCACACATTCTATCAATAAAATAATATTACACATAAACCTAAAAATTTTCCTTAC